AAATCATCAGTTAGCTTTTTTAAACTGTGTGTGCAGCATGCAGACTGTAGCTAAAAGGGCTGGCAGGGAAAGAAAAGGTCAGTAGAAACTATACAATAGAAATAAAACAGATTGTAGCAAGAGTTTAAAATAATAGCTATATGGCAGAGTTTCATATAAAATAAAGCTTTCAGGAGACCATAATTCTGTATTACCCAATGAGTCAGAAGAGGCTACGAACCTACCTTGGCCACACTTTCACTATCCAGTAAGAACGAATTTATCTTTTTATTTTGCACAGTGCCGCTTCCATCCTTGCAACCCTGAACTAAGAGGATTATCTGAATCATATTTTTTTATTATGTTTTTGCTGTAGTTCTTATAATAATATAAAAATACAAAGGAAGACCATATAAGAACAGATATGCTTCTTATAGCCTTTCTGGTGTGAGCATAAATGTGCAGTCCTTGATCTCATGAAGCCATCAGGAGATGGTGAGATATGTTTATGATGTGCAATGCAAGCCAAAGAAAGGCATCTCTCCCTGCATCAGCCTAAAAAACAGTGCTAGTTCCTCATGTTGGTTTGTTTCTAACAGTGGTGAATTTCAGGAATATGACTTTATACCATGGGAGTAAATTGGATTTCCCACTGTGCTCAACTTGAAACTTTTTACTGGAAGAGAATGACAGCAATACAAGAACAATTCCATTTCTCAGAGTTAATGGTGTCATTAGTTTTTGTCCAAACATAAAAGCTTCTTACAGGCATCCACTTCCAGTAGTGTGCACATCCAAAAATAGCCATTCTGAGTGAATTCAAAGGCTCACTGAGCCACTGGCATAAACCACAGTAGCAGTAAATGCCTAAAGAAAAGTATAGAAAAGCATAAGAAGGTTGAATAATTCTGGTATTTCCTGAGCTAGGGATGACCTCTTCTGAGAGACCTTACAAGAATGGTACCTATCTCTAACACTGTCATTTTTTCAGGGATGTCACTCAACAGTCATGCTCTCACATGCATCTCTACTTTGGCTGTGACTTTCACTCGAGGAAAAGAAAGCCACAGAGAGGACAGGTATTTTAAAATTAAAAGACCACTTAGCATTCCATTGGATTAATAGGAAGATGTAGAATAAATAAAAAGGACCAAGATGCTTAAGAATTTGGCCTCGCTTCTTCACCTGTCCTCTACAATGTCATATTTATCAAGACAATGGCATGTGGGCTGGGAATCAGGCAATGATATCTTGAAGTTGCTTCATCTCTCTTTACCTGAGACTGTTCATCTGAGTTTATCAAACTGTTTACTTTCTTATTTAAATACTATGAAATAGATAAATGAATATTGTAAATAAACAATAATTATTTTAAAATAAAGAAAATATTTTTTTTATTACCTTGCTATTTTTTGTATGAAAGCATAAATAAGGATCATTTTTTATTACTCTGTTTAAATTGTGCAGGTGTAATGTAGTAGTGCCTTAAAGACTGTAAAAAAATATCTGATCTGAATGTTTCAGATCAGAAAATTCACAAAATTTCACTATTTTTAGAGAAGTTAAGGCAAATTGTAGGAAATAGAGTCTTATGGCAAGTTGGGTCAATTTCCTCCACCAATCGCCTATCTTCCACCAAAAAGAAAGGTTAGTCTAGATGTCATAGGAAGAAGGACTACACCTTAGTCTATAATTCAGGAAATAAATATCTAGATGATACCAGCTGTAAAAAGCAGGAGATGAAAGATCCATGTCTGAAATAAATTTTGATACAAAATTGATTATAGCTGCAGGGAATTATCTTCTATTTCTGCTAGTTGTAAGGAAGGGACATTTTTTTTCTGACTGACACAGAAAATGTCTTTGTCCTTAGCTATATCAAATATTGACCTTTCTCTTTATTTTTTCTTTTTTCCTTCAATTTATTTATTTAACTCATACAAGCAAATTCATGACAAATTTTTATTACTCAAAGATGACCCTCTATAGTTTTTAGTTGTTAATGATAGTTTCCTCACTTACAATAGTAATGAAGCTTTTGATTCAATATTTGACTCTGTATCCCAGCACCTCTCTATCTGCAGTTTTTGATCTTTTCTTCACATTTATGATAGGTTCTGGAACTTATGGATCCTGTTCAACCAAAGCCATTCTGTATCTCCATTTTCCATTATGCCTACACAGATGGTTTGTCAGACTTATGAAATATTGCTGTCACTGAGATACTCAAAGCTAATAATTGCCCAGGAGATTTCAGTACCCAGCTCATCCTAAAACATTATGGATATTCCCTGGATTTCCAACGTGTTCTGGATTTTTTGTTTTAAGCAAAAATGCTGAGAAGAGTTATACCTATTTTAAATTTCATGTTTGGTTTTCCCATAAGTAGAGAAGGAAGTAGGAATATATAAAATTTGAATTTTGATTTGAAATGTCTTGTTTTATCTAATAGACAGACAAATCACTTTATCTCCCAGTCAGTTTAGCTTCTTTTCTCTGATTCATAGGCTGTCTATAACTGCTCAGGGATTTGTTATTAAGCTGTAATAAGAAGTCCTGCCTAAATTTTTCTTTAAAATACCTCAAGCAAGTAATAATCAATTTTTTTTCAATTTGCACTAGAAATCTGTTTTTTTCTTTATATTTGATTGCAGTACCTTTGCCTCATCCAAGCTTTTCTGCCTTCTCAGTGTACTTTACCTAAGGCAATTTTCTAATTTTTCTCATTACAGCTGTTACTTTCACACCAGGATTATTAGTAAAATACCTTATGCTTCTCCTTGTATTGCATCAAAGATCATCATTTCTTTTAAGGGGTAATTTGTTCTCTTTGTCTTGTGTCCTTTCCCCCTAAGGAATAATATTTTGCAGAATCTGAGACTTCCGCATAATTAGATCATACAAAACATCCGCTATCCTGTCTCCCACTAAGACAAGAGGACCTTAAGGTTTAAATTACTTCCATACATCCTCACTGTAGAAGATAAATTATATTCCTTTTGTTTGGTCGCATTAAAGTTCAATTTCATCCACATCCCTAACACATTTGACATAGATTCTCTTGATCTGACTGTTTCAAAGCCTAGTCATCTTCTCCCTGACAGCAAATGTACCTTGATTTAATGGCATCTTTAAGCTCTGTCTGCATTTCCCTTGAACAAAAGTCACAGCAAGAGAGTAACATTATATTCACAGAATCACAGAACAGTCTGAGTTGGAAGGGACCCACAAGGGCCATCGAGTCACTCTTAAGTGATATTGTCAATATACTCCTGAGGAAAGTAAGTGGACCACACCCTGTTCTAATAAATGTACCACCAATCAAAATACCTTCTTCAATAACATAATATTTTCTTTTACCCAAGCTACCAGAAACTGAGGGGACAGGGTGGGGTTTTTTTGTGTGTATGAAAATGCATATAAATATATGTAAATTATAAGCGAATATATTACTGTGAAAAATTAATTCCTAAGGCGAAAATCCAACTTTTGCTTGGGAAAAATCACACCACTGCAAACCTTATGTCACCTTTTCAATAAAGTTTCAAAGTTCTTCAGAAGGCCAAACTGAGGCAAAGTTAGCTGAACTGGTCTATTTCACATTGTCAGAAATACACACTAATTCCAAGTCCTATTCTGCAAAGAAAAGTTACCACTTTTTGTAGTGTGTATGTACCTTAGAAATATGTACTTGCAATGTATAAATACATATTTATACCACATATATAACATGCAGAATCATATATCAATATCTATCTATATCTATATATCTATATATCTATATATATGTCACATATAATAAATCATCATGGATACAGTTTTATGGCTATGGAAATGTTTCAACACTGCTTCTTTCTCCTCTTAAAATACATTTACTAAACTACAAAAGTTCTGTATGATTAGATAGCATTCTAATTAAAAGAAATTGTATTTTTAAAGTGAGGTATCCATTGAAATTTTTTGTGCCAATGGAAAACAATGAAAAGAGATCACAGAGTATTCTTAAAATGTAGAATGCTTCATGCAGTATTTTAAACTCATGATCCTCTCAGGGAAATTTACAAATGGAAGTACAGTATCATACCTAACTAAACTAAAATACTCATAGCCAATTCTATGATTAACAGTTTAACATTACAATTAAATAGCATGTAACTGAACTGTATTGAGTGGAATATAGTTCTAAGAATTACTTTTAAAATCATATCAAATCATAAGCAGAATGACCACCATTTAAAAAAGATGTAAAACCTCTCCCTGTTTCTAGTGCATGTAAGTCTGCTATGTGGTAATAAAGAAACAGGATGAGGAACTGATTTTAATTTTTCTAGGTATGATTAGCATTGGGAAATACCAATTCACTGTATGTAGACATTTCACTGTTATTCCATTTCTGTTCCAAAGGCTAGAGGTGTCAAAAAAAAATACCCAAAACAAACAGAAAATAAGCAGGCAAGCAAGTTGTGTGGAAACTGTGGAAAAAGTTCTTTCCCTACCAGAGCCTTTCCAGGCTTTCAATGTTTCAATGTTACTTCCAAGATGCTGCGACCCCTTGCTATGCTTGTCTCCTGTACTTCATTTTTCCCTCTGACCTCTCCCCTTTGTTACATTCCTCTAGGTCAAATCAATCCTTCCTCTTATATTCCCTATGCTCTCTCCACAACTCTATAGGGCTCTATGTATCTAGCTCTGTGGGGGTCTACTCAAAGTTTAAGTTTAGATTAATTTTATATTTTATATATATATATATACACACATTTTTATATTCAAATCAGACTTGTGAAAATCATTCACCACAATATTCAAAGACACCCAATATTAATAGAGTCCTCAGTCAGCATAACTGCTTAAGTATAAAGATGGGCTATCATATGTGTAATTTTCTAGCTACCTTCATTTCCATTAAAGCAGTTGAGAGTTTGCAATCATTTGGCTGCCTGCCTTTGCAGGAGGCAGATCTGGAGGAAAAGAATAAAAGCAATGAGAGAGATCAAGGAGAATGATCAGAGGAAAGGACTCACCTCTTTTAGTCAGTTTTCCATTTTAGTTGTTCCAATAGTTAAAGAGGGAAGAGATTTTTTGCACACTCTTTAATTCAGATGCCAGTTTCAATACTTGATGCTTGACTGTTCTGAAACACAATCAAAGTGTAGGAGTTAAAACTACTAGCCTGAAACAAGATAAAATTATTAACATGGCAAGGATCTATGTATTCATTAAAAATCACAGCAATGTTGAGATGTTTTATAACAATGCTCCGTGGCAAGGTTTTTCACATCCTTCCACACTCTCCTTCTTGAGCAAAAAAGGAATATTTTGATTTCATAATGCTACATTTGTGGTGCCATCTCAACCTTCCAACCCTCCCTGCACAATGCATGAAGTGTTGGTTCTTTTACCAAAAGATGCAAAGACTAGTTACATGTGATTGCCTCAGGAAATCTCTGCAAGCTCACCTCTCCCCCACTCACCCCCTTTCACAGTCTTTTCTCACTCTGCATAAACACCATGGAATCCTGCTGCTTGTGTCTGGAAAAGCAGAGGAGATTGGTGAGAAAACCTGAAGCACCCAGCTGTATACATGGTTCTTTCCCCACCAGCATTCAATGGGTATGGACAAAATTGCAGTGGGAAATCACTGCATGTTAAAATATATGATTTTTAAAAATTATATAAACTGAAAATACTTATTTAAAAGCCACTTTATCTCTCTTGTAAGGAAAATTACATACACATTTTCCCCCTCTTATTTCTCCAGTACTACTTACTGAGACTAACAGAAGTAAATGGCTTTCCTCTGTGTTCTATATTTGTTCTCTATGAGTCATCTCACTATTTAAGTGTTGTTTCTCAGCACCTAAAGGTCTAGCTATATTATTCTGTCTTTTTTCATGTGAACAATTTGAAAGTACAAGCCAGAATAAGTACGAATATTTTGTCTTATGAATGTAGTTAGCATCTCATATCAAACTTTACTTTAAATCATATTAGAAGAAAAAAAATTCACAGCTAAGGGTGCTTTGATACTAGCCTTGGACTATACTGAAGATTTATCACTACAATAACTTTTTTGATGTGTTCTTAAGTTATTTTAATCTCTTGATGTTCATTCAAAGAAATACCTTTCCTCATCATATTTAACAATTGGGGGTTAGTTGTCAGAAAAAACAAGTAAAAATTTTCAGAGCAAAAATAACTGGAAAATATTACAAACACATGCTTATAAAGCTAGAAGAGAGCAACCCAATCAGAGTCTGATGTTCCACTTCCCACAGGCTACAAACCATCCACAAATCAATTTCTTTGGAAGTGGGATGCACATCTTAGTAAAACATCAAGATTTGTATTGAAATTCTCTCGAGTAACCACTAAGAGGACAGAAATTGCCTCTGTACAAAAGAGGTCATTATTCCAGGGAATTACTTGACCTCTAAAGCAGTCAATCAGAGGACGGCTGCAGCCTCCTCTTTGTTACCTTTGTATTTTCTGTGAATCCCGTTTCCAAGATAAACAAAATTCTGACACTGCTTCAGAGTCCCTGACATTGCTGTCAGGATAGAAAAACATTCCACTGGTACTCCAATGACAGCACTTTGTGCAGAGCTGTCTTTGAGGGCCCGCCTCTTCCTTGAGGTACTTGAGAAATACACTATCTTCAGTGTATTTCTTCTTAATTCTTAAACAAAATTTCCAGTTCTTCTCTACAGTTGGTCTTCTTTGGTTGGTTGTACAGATTTTTTTGTCAGAAGTGAGAGAAAACAAGATGCTCAAAGTAGGAAAATTAGATGATAAAACTATCAGATTGGTATTGGGCTCAAGAGATGGGTACAAAACTAGAAACTGCTTTTAAATTATTTCAGAAATGCACAGATTTCCTGTTGGCAGGACCTCTTTTCAGGAAGGCTTTAATTTGCCTATAATATTGAATAAATACATCATAAGCATTTCAGATTTTCTGTGAGAGTATAAAATTGACAGAGTATATTTCATTGTAACAAGTAAACTGGATTGATTTTTCCTTATAACATCTCCTTAGGGAGCTTACAAACATAAATCTCTAAAGGAACAAATCCTCCATGTCTTTAGGAGGAGCTTTGAGTTGTAACAACTTCTCTGAATCTATTGAAACTTCCATACTTGAAGATTTGGTTGAGAACCTTGCTGAAGCTGGGCTCAGATAGGTTTCTCTTAGCTGACAGAATTCACATGGATAAGAGAAATTGTAGCGTGTCAGATGTATTTAGTGATGACAGAGACACCAAAGGCAGGCAATGTAAAGGTATCACCTTAACACAAGTGTTAAGCACACTGTAAGTTACTGCCTGAAGTGTAAAAAAGACAAAATTTGAAAGTAACTTTCTGCAAACATCTAAGTGCTTATGACAAAGTTTTCAGAGATGGCCATGGACTAATGTGCTTCAGACTCAGTACAAGCACATGGTACTAACCATGCCAACAGCCCAAACTAAATCAACATTGGCTTAATAGTTTTAAAATTTCTTTAATTCTTCATCTGTTTTCTTTTGATCTTTCTTATTTGTGCATGTCTGTGCATGTTAGCCTTCTCTCACCACTTTCCCTATTTTTTATTTAATCACAGAGGTACAACCAGAAAAGGTTCACAAAAAAACAGATGATGATGGAGCATGCAGAATGACTTCTGCAAGAGGGACAAAACACCAGGGTAACATTATAGAAAAACTGAAAATTGAATCATGGAAGATTATGAAAACAACCATAGGGCATCAAATCAAACTGATTAAGAGTCACATCATGAAAAGAAAGAAGCTGAACAAATGAACAAAGAGAGGTGACCCTTTCTGCAAAGTACAGTTGTACTGTGGGACTCCTGCCACAGTAGGTCATGAAGATCAAATCATGCCTTCAAGAGAAGTTAGGAAAAGTGTGGAAAATTAAGTTTCCTAAATTTAGGTAATTAGAAATGTTTAGAATCATGCAGCTCAGAAAGACCCAAAGTTAAAGACATAAGGAGGGTAAGAGAATATGTTTGACATGTTCATATATTCTTTCTTTTGATCTCCAGTGCATGAAACAGGGCATGGGTCAAAAATACTTTTGAGCTTGATGGTCATTTTTATAATTTCTTTGTGTTTTTAGATAGATTTTGTTAAAAAGAAATCTGAAAGAAAGTGTGGCAAAGAACAGGAACAAAGAATAACCCAGAACAGGTGCCTAGGGAGGCTGTGGCATCTCCATCCTGGGAGATACCGAACAATCAGCTGAACAACACCCTCCACAACTTGATAACTGCCTATAATTCCTTACTAGGTAAATGATTCTGTGAATCTGTGAGTCTGAGAAACAGGCTCTAATCATGTCCCTGTACCATTCCTTCACAGAACAGCAATTCGCAGTGTGACCATTATCATTAAACCAAATTTCAGTGAGGAAATGAATGGTAGGTCTTCAAGTGTTTTATTACGTACTAAACTATTTGATTTCTCTTCTACATGATGCTTCTTTACACTCCCGAGGTCTGTTTGTATGCATAATTTGTAATTAATGATACACACAGTAAAGGAAGTGGATGGAATTTTTACCTGTTGTAATTTTTTTTTTCATCACTTAAATTTTATTAAAGTAATTCACAATGAAAGTGGATGAGTATCCATTTTTGTGTACACAATATCAAGATACTGACCTACATTAACAACCCAAATCTGTTCCATTACAAAGATGTACTTAGAGGGGCTTAATATACACTGCAACCTTTCAATGAGGGTGAGTCACCTGAGGTGACAAATGGCAGATAACTCTGATGTTCAGAAGAGACCTCTTTCAGATGATGATTTACTGCATATTAAGCCATTAGCAACAACAATTTTTTTTTACTTTTTAGGCACTGGGCAGGAACCTCATCTATTTCCTTTCCAAATTAAAGCAAAATAATAATAATTATAGAAATTAGGACTACCTAGTAACTACATGCAAATGAACTTCTAAAAATTTAATTACAACCTCACTAGTGTAGTAGTAATGGGAATACCACAAAGCTTAGCAATGAGCAGAAAACTCAGTCTTCTTCCTGTAAAGCCAAGACTGCAATATCACACACATTTATTGAACCTCATTTGTAAAATTAAGAGTCTCCCTCAGACAATTAAAAATCATGCTGAGTACTCAGCCACAGTAAATTACAAATATAATTAAGTAAATAATAAAAAAGCCCAAGTCCCTACTTAAATGCACTGCCAATTCAGCTAATCCAAGCACAGCAAATATTAATGCAATACTTCAATGTCTACAGCTCAGCTCCTGATCTACAGTAATAATAACACATTAAGATTTTGTTCATACTCAGAACAAACCACTTATTTTCCCCAAGACAACTGCAGCACCAGGTTGCCAATAATAAGCTGCTCATATCTTCCATCACCCTGCTCCAGAAGGCAGGCTGAGAAGATGAGCACTTTTAGCCTGATTGCATTTACCACCAATTATATAGACACAGTCTTTTGACCATTCTTCACTTTAAACTGAAAATAAGATAACCTGAAGGATTAAAATCAATGCCAATTAAAGGGATCTGCAAAGTGTGATTTTTAATTACGCTGCTTTAGTAAGTCACTACACAATCACTATTTGCATTCCATTGTTTCTGCATACAAAGCACAAAAAAATTACATCTTGGAAATGGCTTCTGATTTTAGCAGCTGGCACACCAATGAGAAAAAAGTTTGAAGTTTTGTATTAGCGATAAGCGCTATGCAAGAAATGAAATGTGTCTAAAATTATGCTGACAGCACATGTCACTTGCCAACAATGTACACTAGCATTGATATGAGCTGCTGTTTACAAGCTCACAAAGAAAGGATTAAATAAAATTTAATTAATTCAAACTTAAATATGTGTTTTTACCACTATACAGCAGTGTGTGAATGGCAGACATTTCACTGTCTCACTGCAGTTGTATTATTCTCAGCCCAACCTCATAAATATTAATTGCTTTTGAAACTGAGTTATAAGTCTGCACATGAGATAAAGGAAAAATCCCAAGCATAGGCCTTCCCTCAACATCAATCCACAGGAGGAATAAAATATTCTTTATTAAATGTTCCTGCATCAGCACCAGTGGGAAGTTCCGCAGTCTATTCTAGTTGGAGGTAAATG